ATGTTTGGTGTGACGGGGATTCGAACCCGCGACCCGCAGACTGCGAGTCGTGCGCCCTAAGCACCTGGCCATGCCGGGCCTCAAAATTTATCTACAGCCGAAACTCGTGACTTATAAACATTAGGAGCGAATTTAAAACCTTATATTTTAGCTCGGTTATCGTCGTAGTTTTTAAAGCTTTACGGGGAAGAGGGAGGGTTTTTTTAAAATTGTATTTATAAATCTGTGTAACATAACTTACTAGATTCCTCTCTAGTCAGTGATAAGTAAAATGCCTTCTGTATTTTACGAGTTGTTGTTTAGCGAACTATTCCAAGTTTACGTTTAGCAATATTACTTTAAAATCAAAACGGTTGGTCTTACGTTACACCGAAAAGGTATCTTATTTTGGTTACGTTTTGTGAAATGAGAAGGGAAATTTACGAAACGTAATTAAGGAAAAAAAAAACTAGAAAACTTTTCACGAGTAAGATAAGAACAACATTTTATGTTTTAGAATAAGTTGGCCTCCTCCAGTAAAAACACATATTCAACAAATAGTACTTACCCATTGTATATGCCTACACAATCGTTACAACTACTAGCCTAACTTTGGTTTCTTCCACAGAACAAAGGAAGAATGAAACAACTGACGTGTCAGAACTGCAGGGCCACGGTTATCCACCCTAGCCCTAATCACCTTTTCCTCAGGTTGGCTGATTTCATTCCAGAACCGGTCTTACAAGTTTGACATAGATCACCTCTGCTGCAGGAGTGGATACAATACAGTGGCGCCGTCTATACCTGTACCTTGGCACACATTCTTCCACTACTCGACTAGAGACCTCGGATGTTAAGATAAACACAAAATTATTACAATAGTTATTGCAAAGAGTTGACTTTCCAAAACTTTATATTAAATCAAAGCCTATCTTTAACACAATTCGCGATCAACGAAAACTCTAAAGTCTAACGTTTTCTTTCTACTGAGTCTCTGTGTGTTCAATGAAACAGTATTTCTGACTCTGATAGAAACAGGTTGAACTTGTGGTCTAGCTCTGCATATCGGAGCTGGTGAGCCAGGTTCGAATCCGTGTGATATCACAAAATAGTTTCCGCATTTTAAGCTGTGGATTAATTATAAGACCGACAGTCAGGCTCGGCATGGCCAGGTGGTTAGGGTGCTCGACTCGCAATCTGAGGGTTGCGGGTTCGAATCCCCGTCACACCGAACATGCTCGCCCTTTCAGCCGTGGGGGCGTTATAATGTGACGGACAATCCCACTATTCGTTGGTAAAAGAGTAGTCCAAGAGTTGGCGGTGGGTGGTGATGACTAGCTGCCTTCCCTCTAGTCTTACACTGTTAAATTAGGGACGGCTAGCGCAGATATACCTCGTGTTGCTTTGCGCGAAATTCAAAAAACAAAACAAAGGCCGACAGTCAATCATTTGGCGGGTTAGAAGAGTGCTCGTGACTAGTTGTCTTCCCTCTGGTCAGTAGTTCAAATTAGGTATGATGACAGATGGCTAGCTTACGTAGCTTTGTCATAAATATAAAACCAATTTGTTGGTTTCGCCATTGTCTGTTAAAACCTCACCTCAGAGTACTGTTGTAACAGTTTAGTAAAAGTGATGCAAAGTGCAGTCCGTATAACGATAAACACTATGATTTATTTCTTCGATTATAACATACACATTTTTGTAGGCTACGTTCGCTGATATGCCTGACATCACAAATATAATAAAACAATCACTTACTTGTTAAACTTTCCTCTGGTATTTACAATGGTAGTCAATCAATGATATGGGAGCAGATTAAGTAACTAACTCCCCACCGACTGACTCACTGATTGCTTTACAACTCACTTACTAACTGATTAACTCACTCACTCATTGGCAGACTCATTAACTGACTGGTTAACTCTCCAACTAGTGAACTGGTTAACTCGACTAACTCATTGTCTGACTAGCTAGCTCACTAACGAACTAGTTCACTCACTAATTGATCGATTAACTCACCCTCAGATTAATTGTCCAACTCATTAATTGACCGACTCATTAACTGACTGGTTAACTCTCCAACTAGTGAACTGGTTAACTGACTAACTCATTGTCTAACTAGCTAGCTCACTAACTAACTAGTTCACTCACTAATTGATTGATTAACTCACCCTCAGATTAATTGTCCAACTCATTAATTGACCGACTCATTACGTGGATTATTAACTCTGCTGTTTTTATACGATATCTGTTATTACAAAAAATACTTTCAATGCTTGTCTTAAAACATTATTATTATTACAGTGTAATAAATAAAACATTTTTGTACTCAATATTTTTGGTTATTTATTGTTTTTGAGGCTAGTTCCCGATTATATGTAAGTAAATGTTAGTGTGCCAACGATTAAATTAATAATGTGTCACATATTACATCAAAGTAATTGTTAGTGTCACAAATTATAACCAAGTGATTGACACTGTGTCGCCGATCACAGTCAAGTGATCGATAATGTGTCACCGATCACAGTCAAGTGATTGATACTGTGTCGCCGATCACAGTCAAGTGACTGATAATGCGTCTCAGACACTTCACTCATACAGCTTAATTAATCTTTCAATTTGAAATATGACCTTTTAAGGCCAACCTTCTTACATATAGGTTACTTTTTATTTAAATTTATAATACAACATTTTGGTTTGCTAACTTAATGGACCATAGGAAGGGGCATTTGCCCCCCCCCCTTTACATATCACAAAAGAATTGCACGTATTATGATGTAAAGTATTTTTTATTAAAACTAAATTTGTTTTTAAGCACACATAACATATATCCATTTTGTCTTTCGACTTAAATTGTTAAAGCTGATCCCCTACATATATATTTTGACCCCCCCCCCCCCGAAAATATTTTTATGGGCGCCCATGCGATGGACTATAACTGCCTCAATAAAAAAAGGGGGGTGACGTTTTAGCTTCGATTTTTGATGTTTTCTCCGGGGTCACTGTAGGAAGAAAAGATCAGAAATCATATGGTGAAGAACAGTAGTCCAAGGAAATGGTTGAGAAACGTGTGGTTTTGGAGTTAAAACACACGAGAAGTAATAGGAACTACAGATGAGAAGTGAAAAGGGAGCTGAGAACCATCAGGAGAGGAACGATTGAAATTCATGGAAGGGGATCTATATTTTTATATTATTCAAGGCTCAGGGGGTCTTTGGAACTTTGTTTGTGTCTTCTGATTTATGTTGGTCTTCCCCCAGTATGGTTGGATTTTTCGAACTTTGTTTGAGTCTTCCGATTGACGTAGGTCTTCCCGAGTATGGTTGGATTTTTGGAACTTTGAGTCTTCCCCAGTATGGTTGGACTTTTGGAACTTTGTTTGTGTCTTCTGATTTATGTTGGTCTTCCCCCAGTATGGTTGGATTTTTCGAACTTTGTTTGAGTCTTCCGATTGACGTAGGTCTTCCCGAGTATGGTTGGAATTTTCGAACTTTGTTTGAGTCTTCCGATTGACGTAGGTCTTCCCGAGTATGGTTGGAATTTTCGAACTTTGTTTGAGTCTTCCGATTGACGTAGGTCTTCCCGAGTATGGTTGGATTTTTGATACTTAATGGTACCTCACTTTTCAGGCAGTGGGCAATACCCATCTTTGGTATTACCCTTGTCCGAACTAGTCACTCGGGGTTGTAGTTACTCCTGAGAGATGCCATTTCTGGATGAATACTTTCCCCTTTCTTCTATAAACCATAAAAACACATGGCTATCTACTGGCACAAGTCATAAGATGAAAGGTATCTTTGTCATCCAGGAGAAGTGTTATCTAACTGAGAAAAGTTTGGTTTGTAGTTATTTCATAAAGATATACTGCAGGTATCGAAACCTAGATTTTTAGAGTTATAAGACAACAGGGGGATGAGGAGTACTATTTGGTAGGGGAAAGGAAGGAATTAACTTATTTCAGTGTTCTTCATTTTTACGATTGTTTTTTTTGCTCGTAACCTAAAGCATGCGGTATCTGTATTTGATGTAGGGTGGTTTGGTTGACCTTTGTAGTTATCATATTGGGTAGTTTAGTCATTGTAGTTTCAGTTAATTGAGTTATAGGTTTCATATTTAACGATGGAACACACAGTTGTGTTATTCTCTGTAGTTTCAGTTAGTAGAGTTATATGTTTGTATTTAACGATGGAACATCCAGTTGTGTTATTCTCTGTAGTTTCAGTTAGTAGTTATATGTTTCATATATAGCGATGTAACATCTAGTTGTGTGATTCTCTGTAGTTTCAGTTAGTAGTTATACGTTTCGTATTTAACGATGGAACACACAGTTGCGTTATTCTCTGTAGTTTCAGTTAGTAGTTATACGTTTCGTATTTAACGATGGAACACACAGTTGCGTTATTCTCTGTAGTTTCAGTTAGTAGTAATACGTTTCGTATTTAACGATGGAACACAGTTGTGTTATTCTCTGTAGTTTCAGTTAGTAGAGTTATATGTTTCGTATTTAACGATGGAATACACAGTTGTGTTATTCTCTGTAGTTTCAGTTAGTAGTTATACGTTTCGTATTTAATGATGGAACACACAGTTGTGTTATTATCTGTAGTTTCAGTTAGTAGAGTTATACGTTCGTATTTAACGATGGAACATACAATTATTTTGATTATAGATAGTTTCGTTTTGACCACTAATGTAGTTCGAGCTTTTAGACTTGCTGCTTTAGCTACAATGTACTTAGATACGACTTTTTAATTTATGTTCTGTGGTCTGACCAGTTTCTTCAGTATATATGTTGGCACATGAACAAGAAATTTGGTACAAAATAAAATCATCAATCAGAACTAACTTGATATTTTCAGAGATCAGACAACCAGTGGTATTTTGACATTTTATTTAAGTAACTACACAAGCGTTTCCTGAATTCATATAGTCTTTCAAGATAATAAAATGGAAGACAACTGTCTAACAATAGTTAATATAGTTGAATTAAAAACACTAGAAAAACTAATATTGAGATTTAAAGCACCAGCATCCATCACAAAAACTTCATTCTTCTTAAAAACATTAAAAGAAGATAAAATACATTCATAAAATACAAAAAAAACCCAGAACTTTAAAGTTGAAACAAAAATAAAAAACAACAACAACAAAATTCAAAGTTAAGCTGCAAGTTTAAAGATTTCCACAATGTTTAAAAAAAAAGGAGTTTATATTAGATGAAATATTTTCATGTACTATAGCATCTTGAATAAACATTCATAAGATTTACTTTCTGTTTTATGAAAAGTTTATATAGTAAGTTGCCAAATAAACCGTGGTCAGATCATTTACATCCGAGATTATCAGTTTACAAATATAAGGTATTAAATGAAATGGAAGCTCTAAAAAACTATGAAGTATAAAAATAATAATTTATGAAATAAAATAATTCCAGTTTATCTAATGGAATGTACTGTTGTAAATCCTGTTACTGGCACCACTATTAGTTGAAAGGTAGAGAATCCGATATAAAAAGTTAATGTACCTAAATGCAAATACTTTGATTTTTCTAAAAGTTAAGTCAGATTAGTGTGAAAGTTGCCAAGGGATCAACTTTAATGATCTACAGCTTCCATGCCTGTCTCATCATTAGATCAAAGTAAGCATCGGTGTCAATCGAAGCACTCACGCCCGAGTAATAGTTTAAAAACTCTTCCCACGTCACCTGTAATGAAGACAGCATTTTTAGTAGATGTATTAACACAACATAAATAAGAGGAAAGGAATGAATCGTACCAAAGTAGAAGTTACATAGAACAGCACAACTAGTGTAATTACTGAACATTTCAAAAATATAACTGAAATATTAAACATTTGTACTACAAATAGGTTTCTTCACTAACCATTATTACTGTTAGTAAATTTTGCTAACTTTTCCTAGTTATTATTTCATATCAGTTATATAGAGCAGTGTTTATCTGCAGTATGTTCTGAACACTTTTAACAAATGGGTTATCATTTGAAACTATAAACAAATGTTAATTTCTGCATAAAAAAACACTCTCCATGCCCAACACAAAATGGACTTGATAGAAAACATGATTAACAATAGGACAATGGTATAGTGGATGACTGGTTCCAGAACTATGGACAATGGTATAGTGGATAATTGGTTCCAGAACTATGGACAATGGTATAGTAGATAACTGGTTCCAGAACTATGGACAATGGTATAGTAGATAACTTGTTCCAGAACTATGGACAATGGTATAGTAGATAACTTGTTCCAGAACTATGGACAATGGTATAGTGGATAACTTGTTCCAGAAC